ATTTCAATAAATCTGTAAAATAGCTGAATTGAGTAAAATTGAGTTACATTATGTGCCATGAAAATAGTAAGAACACCTGCATGTATTTGCGAAACAAAAACATAAGTTTTAAGTAAAGGAAAATATTCTCGCCCATGGGCCAAACCCTTTTCTCGCCCATGGGCGAAATATTTCAATATCGCTATAAAATCGTTGAATTAAGTTAAAATGAGTTAAATTTTGTGTCATGATACTTCTTTCAATACATTTAATGTATTTGCGAAACAAAAACATGAGTTTTGAGTAAAGGAACATATTCTCGCCCAAGGGCGACATAGTCTAAATATTGAGTTTTTGAACATTTTTTTTTTCATTTTTTCATTACATTTTGTGCCATGATACTTCAATGAATACATTTAATGTATTTGCGAAACAAAATCATGAGTTTTAAGTAAAGGAACATATTCTCGCCCATGGGCCAAACCTTTTTCTCGCCCATGGGCGAAATATTTCAATATCGCTATAAAATCGTTGAATTAAGTTAAAATGAGTTAAATTTTGTGTCATGATACTTCAATGAATACATTAAATGTATTTGCGAAACAAAAACATGAGTTTAAAGTAAAGGAACATATTCTCGCCCATGGGCCTACCCATGGTCCAGACTTCGCCCATGGGCAGGTCCATGGGCCACACTTCGCCCATGGGCAGGCCCATGGGCGACATAGTCTAAATATTGAGTTTTTAAACAATTTTTTTTTCATTTTTTCTTCCTTGGTATGTTCCCATGAAAACGGCATGTTTAATTTTGTAAATACCTTTAACCGAGACTGGGCAAAGAGCGTAGAGTTTCTGGACTTTTGGGTTTCCAGAATTAAAATGGGACGTGTTAAAGGCAAATTAATGAACTTGAAAAATTCTGTAAAGAATCAAACTTAGTTGTAAATAGAGAAAAACAAAAGTTATAGTCTTTAAAAATGGGGGGAAACTAGCATCAACTGAAAAATGGTTTCACAATGGAGAAATTTTGGAAACCACATCTTCCTATAAATATCTTGGTGTTTATTTCACAAATCAACTTTCATGGCATTTTCACGTCAATCAAGCTGCTATACAAGCTAAAAAGGTTTGGACTTGTATATTTAGACAGTCTCCATTTCTAAGAGACATCTCATTTAGATCATATTTTTAAAATTTTGATACAAAGATAATTCTAATACTACACTATGGTGCTGAAATCTGGGGTATAAAAATTCATGATCAAATTGAAAAAGGACATTTGTTTGGTTTGCAAGAAATATTTAGGAGTTAAAAATAGTACGTCCAGCATAATGGTATATGGAGAAACGGGACGATATCCGCTGTATATTCAATCCTACTTAAAAGCTATTAAATACTGGCTTCGCTTGATAAACATGACTAATGATAGAAACCCTAGGAAGTGCTATGATATGTTAAAACTCTACGACAGTACTGGAAAACGAAATTGGGTAACAAACGTAAAAGACTTATTATGTGTGGTATAATCAGTGTGTAGACTCAGAACCGCTTTTTTTAATGTCCTTCATCCAGAGACTAAAAGATATATATTTGAAAAAATGGTTAGAATTAATGTCCAAATCAAATAAATGTTTTTTTTATTATAGAATCATGAAAAGTAATATTGAAACTGAGGCGTACCTCTGTAAACTTGAGTTTTAAAAAATTAGAATTGCACCAGCACGATTTAGATGTTCCTCTCACAACCTGTATATAGAGACTGGTAGATATAATCACACTGATAGAAGAGACACTTTCTCCTGGTATGTCAAGCTTACAAACATTTACGTGATAAATATTTGCCATCTTTCTACTCTGTACACCCGAATGTCCATAAGTTTGTAGATCTTTTAACTTCATCTAATGATACTATGTTATGTAACCTGTCAACATATGTTTATCACGCGATGTCACATAGAAACGGAATTATTAGTTAACAACCACGTCACCTACATGTAAATAGGCATTGTACTATAGGCCTGTGGCCTTTTAAGTACTGAATAAAACTGACATACACGAAAAGCACTCTACATCCTTGCAATATATGCCTGGGGGAAGAAACAACATATGGATAACGTACATGTAGATCACTCTACATGCTTGCAATATATGCCTTGGGGTAGACAACAATATATGGATGACACACACGCAGATCACTCTACACCCTTGCAATATATGCCTTTATGGTAGACAACAATATATGGATGACATTCACGCAGATCACTCTACACCCTTGCAATATATGCCTTGGGGTAGACAACAATATATGGATGACATACACGCAGAGCACTCTACACCCTTGCAATATATGCCTTGGGGTAGACAACAATATATGGATGACATACACGCAGAGCACTCTACATCCTTGCAATATATGCCTGGGGGTAGACAACAATATATGGATTACATACACGCAGAGCACTCTACACCCTTGCAATATATGCCTTGGGGTAGACAACAATATATGGATGACATACACGTAGAGCACTCTACACCCTTGCAATATATGCCTTGGGGTAGACAACAATATATGGATGACATACACGCAGAGCACTCTACTCCCTTGCAATATATGCCTTGGGGTAGACAACAATATATGGATGACACACACGCAGATCACTCTACAGCCTTGCAATATATGCCTTGGGGTAGACAACAATATATGGATGATATACACGCAGATCATTCCACCTCATTGTAAAAAAAATACAGGGTGGATACACACAGTGTCTCTTCTGGCAATATACCGCATCTTATTACATAAAGCTGGGGGTTCAAGCAATACACCGTTGATAAACTTACAGATCATTGTCTCTCGTTGAATTATAAGCCTGGGCGTAAAATGATATACACACTGATCCCTGTACTTCCTTGCAACATAAGCATGGGTGTAGGAACAACAAAGCGCTGTTGTAAACAATATTAGCCTGGACGTAAGATGATATACACACTGGTCACTGTACTTCCTTGCCACATAAGCATGGGTGTAGGAACAAAGCGCTGTTGTAATAATGTAAGCCCGGACGTAAAATGATATACACACAGTGGTCACTGTACTTCCTTGCAACATAAGCATTGGCGTAAGAACAACAGAGCAATGTTGTAAACAATATTCCCCTGGACGTAAGATGATATACGCACTGGTCACTGTACTTCCTTGCCACATAAGCCTGGGTGTAAGAACACCAAAGCGATATTGTAAAACAATATTAGGCTGGACTAAAAATGATCTACACACTAAGTAGCCATAAGCATAGGTAGTTACACCATCCTTATCAATCCACCTCTTTGTATTTAAGGGGGATAATCATGTCTTGTTCATTCTTAATACATGTATCCTGTGATTGTCACTTCTTAAAGTATTCATCTCATGTTTGAATGTTCTACCATTGAATAAGGCTTCTTTACACTGTTCGTGTTTGATATGCCTTTTTACCACATACTTTTTAACGCCATCCAAGGTCTTTGATCAAACTTATGAACTCTGTGTATTTTCTTTAGTTTCATGCCTAGTGATAGACATAACTGGATATTTCTAAAGTGGACTATATATTTTGTTTTATCCATCAAATTTGGTACGAGTTTTTCTACGTTAGCTAACCATAAATCTTTATTATTTGGAATTCACGTTAATCCACTATCAGTCTTTGAGATAGCTTGCATGATGAGATGAGATGAGAATCATATCCTCTGAGGTTATGAAGCACAACGGGTGGGTATTGTTTGAGAATTCATTTTAAGTTTCAAGTTATACTCGTTATGCGCGGCTCCTCTGTAATTTCCCGTGATGTGACAATGATCTCTTACAGAATCTCCATTCAGGGGTTTATTACAAACATGATAACTCGTTGACTTCTTATAGGCCCTCCAATCATCCCTCGTCATACACATGGGTTTCTTACGCGGTAAATGTTCCCTGATTATTCTCTCTTCATTTTGTAGATATTCCAGGAATTTTTCCGCTGCATCGGGTCCTAATTCACGGGTGCATTTGTTTTCCAATCATACCTTAAAACTATATATCCAAACCCACAAGGAGTATGTTCTTGAGTTTTGTATGTAAAACTATATTCAGTACTGTGTTCAGTACTTTCTATTCGTTCTAGAAGTGCTTCGAAGTCAGCGTGAATTATGTTCCCTACTGGCATTTGATTACAATAATGCCAACATTTTAAGATATTTTTATCCTCTTTAGGCATATCGATCCTCATAGCAGTCTGCCCAACACCTCTAGTCTTCTTTATCCGCTTCTAAAAGATCTTGTCTGCTGTATCCATGAAGACAGAAATATTTATTTTCCTTATGGGTTGTTTGATCATATAATAGCTTGTTTATCCACGTATAATGATATTTACTATCTTTTTCGAGCAGATTTTTCTGGGGCAGAGCCCAACCTGTGTTCCTTTAGATTGTCCGAAAACATTTATAGCTAAATTATTTTGCTTTTCACACCTTTTGCGAGATTGGTGCAGGTTCATCTGTACCTTCAAAGTTGAGTCCATCGTTTTGGGGATAGCTCAAAGGTCTATCCGAATGTTTGTTTGCATGATTGGTTGGTTGGTTTGTTGTTTTACGCCGCACTCAAATGGTCGGTCCCTAACATACACAAAAATTCAGAAGTCCCAGTAATAGACTGAATTACTATGAAACTAGATGGAACAACAAGGCGAAAGCCCAGAGTATGCTTGAGTCACATGTTGCCTAGTTGGGGGTAGGGGGGAGTAGGATGGGATGTGCGTCTTTGGGCCATTTGTTTATTGAAGTGTTCTCTCCAAGTGTGAGCTCTTCGATGGGCTTACATTTCGATTCAACAGCAAGAGATTGCATTATATATAATGTACGATAAGTTAAAAATTAACTTTATTTTACAAAAGATTGTAAGGATGGGTGAGACCAGTGAAGCTTTAAAAAGGCCTATCAGAGACATTTAATGTGATGACTGCCCAACTGTCATTGTAAATGAAAAATATTCAACACAGATATTGATATAAAAGAATATTTACTGCTGTAAAATATTTGTACAAGGTTTAAAGACACAGATGCACTTACTTTAAGAGTAAAGAATCAAAACAGAACCACAAAATAATAATCTGGATGAGTATCATGAAGTTATTCTTGCTGCAGAAGGTGTATGTCCTGGATGCTCTTTGTTCAGTAGTGTTGTCACATGCAAAATACTGTATTCAAGCAATGCTCTTCTTGATAACATATTTATCCTTCATCTTCAGGAGCCAACCATTTCTGTCTTCCCAATAAGAGATTATTGGAATTTTCCAAACAAATATTCCTGACCATGAAATGCTTAAAGAAAGTGTCTCCAGCTGAACATACACAACTCAATGATAAAATTATCAGTCCCCTAACAACACCAGTATTAAATCCTAAATCATATAAATGAGGTCCCATGACATAAATAGAATACTACAACTCCTCACAATAATTAGAAATAAGTCATTAATACCATGTCAGTCATCAGTGAGTTGTCAATCAGGTGCAATACAAACAAAACAGTTGTTGCAGCCATTACCTTGAAAACAGGCCACATATGATTTCATGTTCATTCTGATTTAGAAAAGATAAACTGATTCGTTTCCAAGAATATGTAAGCACATTGAATGTATAGAGTGAGAAATTGGTCTTGTGAGGTACAGCGTGTACTACAAACACAACTGAAGACCAAATCTCTTACTTTCTTAGATCTGGTGGTGCTCTGCTAGGTTAAACAAAAATATATGCATAAAGATAACAACAGAATAAGTTATGCATTATGATACACCGAACATCCTCCTCTCCACCACAAGTGTCAAGCAATAAAGAATACATTGTATCCCTCCAACAAGACTGGAATCTTTCCTTTCAGTTCTCTAGGCATTGCAGTCTTGAAGCTAACTTTACATTTTAAGTTTGCCACATGCTACGTAACTGAAACAAAACACTTGAATGTCCTGCCATGATAAAATTATCAACATTTATAAATATTATCACTAATTCCAAGACTGTTTGCACTGTTTCACTATTTGACTATTTAAAGATACATTCCCAGGACCGAGATTCAGCCTTGAGGAGTACGGAGTATTGTAGTGTGTTTTGGAAGACTTAGTGAAACAGCTATGTGTACAGGATTTCTGGTACATGCACAGTAACAGTCTTGTCGTCTTGGTATCATGTGTGTTGTAGTGTGGAAGCCAGTGAGTGAATGTGTTGACCATCACCCTCCTCTTCTGCGGGACACATGCTGCTGGCAAGTCACAATAACACTACATCATCAATTACACAATGTTGCTAAGATTATCAAGGAAATCCACATGTTGAGCAGCAATTTAACACCAACCTCCTCATGAGGTTTCTGATCTTTGGTCAGTTCAGGGAGGGAGTGCTACCAGACTTCCATGTCAGTTCTATTGTTGGCCATTTTGTCTGCAAACAGCACTTGACTGGGGAGGTATCAGTTACTATCTGCACTTCTAGCTCATCTTCTAGTCTCACTGATGCCTCTTGATAAACAACCTGGCAAACAGAAACAAAGATATAAAAAAGTTATTCAATATAGAGGCAGGATACTGAAAAAGTGTGTAGGTGTTCATGCATGCGAGGTGGACTAACTAAGTCGAGAAGTAAACAAGAATACATGGAGATAAACTGCCTTAGATTGACCTTTGAAGGGAAACTAAACTCTGGCTGTCATGTGAAATAGCCTTGAAACATTTTTTCAACATGGCAGACATAGACCTGGTTAGTGTTTGAGACAATTCACTCATACACAAGGGTGGGGAGTGCATAAAGGTTTGGGCTCAGAGGTTTCTCTTAAACCTTGAGTGACCGAGCTACCCACCAGGCCCAAGCAAAAGGTTGAGGTCGCATGACCAGAGCTGGATGTCTGCTTCTTAGTTTCAGGTGGGTGGGTTGAGTAACGCGATTCTCTGAGGAAGTCAATTTGCCAGAGAGATAACACTTTTCCAATTTAGTTTTAGTTTTGTGAGAAGCTGATGTAGAAAGTTTTCCTCCAGGATTTAGATTTGACACAGTTAAGGGCTTTATAGAGCCTGTCAAAATTCTCCTTGGATAAGTCCTTGCAATATGTGCATCTAGATTTTGGTGTGCACAAACTCTATCTACATGCAGTAGATCTAAATGTCTGCATACAATCTTTTAGATCTTGAACAGCTGTGACTGATATCCAAATAAGTGCTTGGAGCTGATCAGCAAAAACATTTTGCTTGTTGACCCAACACACAGAGAAAGGAAGTAATGTTTTCCTGCCTTGCGCATGCGCTGATGCATTAAAAATAGGGATATGAGTTTCTTTGGCAGCAAAGAGGATATGTTGAAAAATCTAAAGCTTTTATAGTGTGATTGATGCCAAAACAGGAACTTATGTCTATGATGTGAAAGAGGTAGGATATTCGGAGGAATCAATAATTTTGAGGTGACATCTATACGCATTTCCGAACATTGATTGGTTACCCGTGATCTATGGAGATTTTGATATCACAAAGGATCATGTTAATTAATTTCTTTAACCTAAACAAACAGACAAAAAGAACAATCAAACTCATCAGATGCCGTTATTTGGAAATACCCCTGATGGCCACAGTTTCATAAAAATAAGTATCCCTGCAGTAAAAGCATGTTCAGATTTCTGAATGCATGTATGATAAGATGAATGAAATTGAATCATCTTTCTGTGTTTCATAGGTTGATATTTAATATCATGTAATTATGTTATGTCAATAAGCCTACAACATTAAAAATAAACCTTTTATTTACTTGAGGCCATAAATAAAACCCCATTTCCCCATTGCATGGTTAGTGTATACTATCGACTATTGGATGTAGAATGAGTGAGTGAGTGAGTGATTTGGATTTAACGCTGCTTTTAACAGTATTCCAGTTACATCATGGCGTGTCAGCTTAATGTGAGAGGAAAGCCCGAAGTGATGCAGGTCTTAGACATTTAACACTTCGGTGAAACCCACGAGCACAGGTATGGTGCTGACAAACCTAGAAACATAATCGGGGCGAACCAGGATTCAAACCCACAATCATAGGTTTCCGGCGTGCCCAAGAAACGCAACTCTGCACAGCAAATCGCGGCGCCTTAGACGATTGGGCCACCCATGCCCCCGGATGTAGAATGAACAAAAGGATAAAGTCATCAAGATAATTACGTAGTAGTATAACCACTCAGATTACCTCACGAAGACTGCAAAATCACACAATAATGTTCATCCCTGACTCTAAGGGTGTATAGGATATTTAGTGCTCAGTGGTTCCCATTTGGTATTTTTTGTGTCTGGGCTAATTATTCCATCTAAGATTGGGTCATAAATCCAGGTATGATGTGGTGAATGTATTATGTGCTATGTAATATGTACGAGGCATCGCAGCAAGACGGGAATGATCAGTTGTTTTGCAAAAAGCACTGATCAAAAGATTAACTAATAATATGTTGATTGAATAATCAATGCTATCTTGAAGATACGTGTTTAAATATGTCGGTTTACTCAAGCAGACGGAATACACCCATATCTTGGCATAAAGTGCCTATGTAAAAACAACATACTTCATTCAAAAGATTACCTAGTAATACGTTGATTGATTGCTTACTGATATCTAACTCTTTGGACTTTTAAAAGCGCTGTGGACATCAGGAACATAGTTGTCATGTTTGCTATCTCAGCTTACCAATGAGATATGACATCTACCGTATATATATCGCTGTCTATAAAGCGGATCCACTTCACATACGATTTCTCCGAAATGAATATAAACAATATTAAATTAATACAAAATGGACATCTCTCCACATTTTTTCAGAACCAAAGAGGATGCCGGCAAGGTGACCCACTTTCACCCTACCTATTTTTGCTTGTAGCAGAGGTACTAGGAATAATGATTAGGAATAATAAAGGCATAAAAGGAATAACAATAAATGATATGGAGTATAAATTAGGTCAATATGCAGATGATACACAGTTATTTTTAGATGGATCTGAAGAGTGTCTTAGAGCTGCAATTGGTACTTTGAATACATTTTATAGAATATCCGGTTTTAAGGTAAATATTGACAAAACTAAAGCTATATGGATAGGTTCGATGGCAGGAAGCAATATCAAACTCTGTGAAGACTCGAACATATTAATACATTGTAGATGTAGATTACTGGGAAGCTGGAAAAAAAGAGATCTAACATTAATAGGTAAAATCACAGTTATTAAGACTCTGGCTCTTTCAACATTAGTTCATATATTTTCAGCACTTCCAAACCCATCTCATGATTTTATTGGAAAATTGAATAAACTATTTTATACATTCATTTGGAAATACAAACCAGACAAAATAAAAAGATCTACCTTGATAAGGAAATATGAAGAAGGTGGTCTGAGAATGATATAGATACCCGCAAATTTATTCATTCATTGAAATTATCATTTTTAAGTACAAGTTTACAAAAACCGACTTCGTCAACATTAAAGAACTTCCAATCAAAACAGATATTCCTTTTGGTCGCAAATATTGATAAGTTTATTACTTTGAAAAATCCCTTTTGGAGGGATATATTGAATATTTGAGGTAATTACTACAGAAAACATAAAGTTGACAAACAAAGTATTAATGATATATTATCAGAACGATTATGGTTCAATCACCAATTAAAAAATAATTTCATTCTGAAACATTGGTTTAATAAGGGTATTCATAGTTTAAAAGATTTATGTAGCAACAACAGATTTTTAACATTTGAAGAATTACAATACCAATTTCAAATTAAAGGTACTATACTTGACTACAACAGAGTAATGCTAAATATCCCTAAATCATGGAAAAAAGCAATAGATGGCAGATCTTCTATCACAGCTAACTTATACATAAATAACATTTTGAGAGACTTGTTGATAAGAACAAAGGGCTCCAGAAGATTTTATGATAAACTTATAGCTTCAACTAACTTTCCTCTGATTTAACTTAATCAAAGCATTTAATGGAATAACATTTTCTCTAATTGTAGATTGTGTACCAATGATGTTAAACTAATAGATTTCCAGTACAGATTTTTAAATAGAGCTGTTTACACCAAAAAGGAATTATGGAAAATGAAGTTAATACATGATGATATATGCTCATTTTGTGTCTCTGAATCTGAAAACTTATACCATGTGTATATAGAATGTGTTTTTGTAAAGGAAGTTTGGTTAGAAATTGAAATGTACCTAAACTCAAAACTTGCATATGATATTCATATTACCATTCTGGATAAGTTATTTTGCTGCAACAAAAACAACTACCTATTCAACCACATAATTCTTTCAAAAAATACATTCACCAGTCAAGCATTAAGAAAACTCCATTACGCTTTCCTTTTTTCATAAAAATATTGAAAGATGTATGTAAAATAGAAAAATTCATCGCAACGAAAAATAGTAGTAATAAGAGATTCGACAGAAAATGGAAGGAATTATCAGCCTACATATTATAATTTCTCAGTCAATCAATAGATGTACTTACCCATATCGGATCATGTTTTAAGATTCTATAAATTGCTACATATATATACCTCACGTACCAATGTTACATGTATGTCTACTGAATTGAAATAAAAATATTTAAAAAAATAAAAAAATATTAAATCAAATTTTGAATAAAATTAAATAGATTACAAACATAAGTCCAGATATATAATGAACTCTTTTTAGAACCAGGGTGTAATTACATGATTACAAATCTGTACTTCAGTTGGGGAAAAAAACATGAAAACTCTTCAACCCTGTGTATAAGACGACCTCCCCCATGAAAGCCCCCTCATTCTAGGCATGAAAAACTCGCCTTATACACAGTGATATATGGTAAGTATAAATACATATATAACGGCTATAGTTATGATATTTGCGTTTTACTTTTATTCATTTGCTGTTGCAAGACCGAAGGAGGCGTCAAAGGTGACTTGTCAAATTTTCCATATGTTAAACATATCCAGCAATAGCAATCAGTTGTGCGACACTTATGGTTATTATACAATTCTTCCAATCTTTGCATCAAAATTCTTTGAAGCATCAAGAAGAGCGCTGAATACAAGTCAAACCATTCAAAATTATAGTCCATTTATAAGCACATACTGAATTCGCGAAGAAAAGCCCATATTTATTTCAATACTTCAGTTGCAGTGTTTCCCTTTAAGGTGTCTGAAAAAAAGGACGACGCTCACCCCTTCATCCACTTTGTGGGCCTGCCAGCACAATATTTCTTTTTCATGACATTGTTATGGAGATGTTAATATATTACAATATCATTCCATGTCACTAATTTTCAACAGAGCCACCTTACATTCTGGACTCATATAGTGACATGCATGTGTGGGGGTGCTTGTACTAGTCCTGACTATTGATGGTTTTATAGTGCTAGCCTACTGAGACACGGGTCAATTTTACTAAGAGTGTAAATTTCTAGTCGAACATCATCCCATTAAGCTACTTCCTGTCTTTGACCTCCAACTTCCTGTCTTCAAAATGGCTTGCAGCTTTATTTGACTGTGAGCAATAATCAATTATTTTTCATTTGCAAGTAAGTGCAAAGTTCAGTTTATGAATGTGTTGCGTCCATACTGTTACCGTCTTTTCGGGGATAGAAAAATAACACATAAAAGTTCCTTCAGTGTTATTGAAAGTTCTCTTACTGATGCCATGTAATTCCTGGAAGCTTTAAGGATCATTCATAAAACAGAATTGTATACTAGGTCTTCAGTGAAGTATAGGTGTACAGGTGATTGTATAATACTATGCCTTCAGTGAAGTATGGATGTACAGGTGATTGTATAATACTAGGTCTCCAGTGAAGTATGGATGTACAGGCGATTGTATAATACTAGGTCTCCAGTGAAGTATGGATGTACAGGTGATTGTATAATACTATGTCTTCAGTGAAGTATGGATGTACAGGTGATTGTATAATACTAGGTCTCCAGTGAAATATGGATGTACAGGTGATTGTATATTTCTAGGTCTTCAGTGAAAAATGGGTGTACAGGTGATTGAAAAATACTAGATCTCCAGTGAAGTATGGGTATACCGGTGATTGTATAATACTAGTTCTTAGTGAAGTATGGATGTACAGGCGATTGTATAATACTATGTCTTCAGTGAAGTATGGATGTACAGGTGATTGTATAATACTAGGTCTCCAGTGAAATATGGATGTACAGGTGATTGTATATTTCTAGGTCTTCAGTGAAAAATGGGTGTACAGTTGATTGAATAATACTAGATCTCCAGTGAAGTATGGGTATACCGGTGATTGTATAATACTAGTTCTTAGTGAAGTATGGGTGTACTGGTGATTGTATAGTACTTGGTCTCCAGTGAAGTATGGGTGTACTGGTGATTGTATAATACAAGGTCTCCAGTGAAGTATGGGTGTACAGGTGATTGTGTAATACAAGGTCTCCAGTGAAGTATGGGTGTACTGGTGATTGTATAATACAAGGTCTCCAGTGAAGTATGGGTGTACTGGTATTGTATAGTACTTGGTCTCCAGTGAAGTATGGGTGTACTGGTGATTGTATAATACAAGGTCTCCAGTGAAGTATGGGTGTACAGGGCGATTGTATAATACAAGGTCTTCAGTGAAGTATGGGTGTACAGGTGATTGTATAATACAAGGTCTCCAGTGAAGTATGGGTATACAGGCGATTGTATAATACAAGGTCTCCAGTGAAGTATGGGTGTACTGGTGATTGTATAATACAAGGTCTCCAGTGAAGTATGGGTGTACAGGTGATTGCATAATACAAGGTCTCCAGTGAAGTATGGGTGTACAGGTGATTGCATAATACTATGTCTTCAGTGAAGTATGGGTGTACAGGTGATTGTATAATACAAGGTCTCCAGTGAAGTATGGGTGTACTGGTGATTGTATAATACAAGGTCTCCAGTGAAGTATTGGTGTACTGGTGATTGTATAATACAAGGTCTCCAGTGAAGTATGGGTGTACAGGTGATTGTATAATACTATGTCTTCAGTGAAGTATGGGTGTACAGGTGATTGTATAATACAAGGTCTCCAGTGTAGTATGGGTGTACAGATGATTGTATAATACAAGGTCTCCAGTGAAGTATGGGTATACAGGTGCTACTGCTCTGTCACATGAAATGCAACTATCTTCACCTTCAAGTGGTCTGGGCTTACCTTTCCATGGGAGCATGACCTTGAAAGGCCATTGTAGTGAAAAAGAGTGAAATTCCTTGGAACATCTTGTATAACCTGTCCAGGAAAAAATTCCTGCATGAAGCTGTGTTGGGTTATGATGCCAAGGTTTTCTGCATCTAATTTTGTCTTCATTATATCAACACTGTAACGAAAAACAAACACAAATATCTTTAGCCATTACCATTAACACAAGAATTTTAGTTAGGGATCAGGAATAAGTTTAGAATTCCTGAAATAAATGAGTCAAATTCCAGGGGACAACATGACAAAAGGATCAACAATTACATTAAACACAATCTCATAAAAATCAGATCTTAGTTCTTGCTTCTGCTAACATAGATCTGAGGACATCCCATTACCGGATACGTCAGAATGAGCTTTCATCCAACCAAAGAAAGGATTGCTTACTACACGTACTAGATAAGGAAACCGACAGTCGGAATGTTTTTTCCAATCATGCAACCTCAAAAAGGTTAACACGGGGTATTCCGAACAACAGTTGTGGGCTGTATGACTGATTCCTTCCATCGACTATCTCCTGCATCAATGGGACATAAACATTAGAACAGAGAAGGCTTTGCATAGCCCATGGAAAGTACTGTCATGCAAACTTGGTCTTGGTCTGGGATGGAAGTCGCGAAAGGTCGTTCTGACCTGACCTGTAATTGGATGTCCTAAGATCTTTGTTTAGTAGGTAGCAAGATCTAAGATCTGATTTTGAGATTGCTTGAAACAAGGCAAGTTCTACAGGACTTTTCAAATGTCTGATATTTGAACTCACTTGCACAAATTTCATCATCTGAATTTCCCTCAAGTCTTGCTAACCAGCTTAACGAACACAGAAATCAGAAAACAGTTTCAAAAGACTAAGTATTCTACACACTCTTTGCTTTTAACAGAAAGTGTGAGACGATATAATGAATGCAAACAGAAAACACCATCTAATTGGAAATGACCTTTCAGATGAGTGCAATAACATAATCCAATAGCTGGGGGAAGAAAGAGGAGTGTCTATTTCATCTAACCTAATTTTATTGAGTATTTACAGCCAGCCAGTAGTGATGAAGTAACTAGCCTGATCTGTAAAGATACACAGGCATCAAGCATATTATTTCCAACCCGTCTTGGCATAAATCTGATTTCATGCCAGCTATTGATCTGTTGTTTGTTTGTTGTTTGACGCCACATTCACTCGTCATTCAGCAATTCTCCAGAAAACTGTAAATAATTGAATCCAGACCAGACAATCCAATGATCGATATTGTGAGCAAGGATCCATGCCGTCAGGGTAGGATGACACCAAATAAACCAGGTCACTCAGACTGACCACCCGTTCGTTCAGTCGCCTCTTATGACCAACAGAGATACATCCACAGGGGATGTTAATGATATGTAGCCAAAGTGAACATGGTATAGTATAAACAGCATTTCAGAGCTATTTTCTGGTGCCATAGGCTATTTGCAAAACATCAATGTGCAAATGTTTCTTCCTTTCTTTGATGTCATCAGCCTTTCCATAAACAGATAAACAATTATTATCAGATTGTGATCAAACAGTCAAAAAATGAAAACATCAATTTCATGCAATATTGCACTTCAATAGTGAATGAATATCAAATTGATTGTACACAGAGTAAGGGAAACACTTCTTAAAATTAAACAAAACTTCAAATGTATCTCATCCTCAAATGATGAATACATAACAATATGAACACAGAGTTCAAATATGGCTGTTTTTCTGGGTGATTGTGTATCAAGTAAACTACCTTTCAATCAAAACATCAACATAAGCTCAAAACATTTTGAGGACAGGGTTCCATTATGCACTAAAAGCAATTGTTGCATGTCTGACAGAGTTTACATAACATGTTCACTTTGGTAATGTCGTACAACCTAACAGTGAGTGATTTTGATTTTACGCCGCTTTTATCAATATTTCAGCAATATCACGGCGGGGGACACCACAAATGGGCTTCACACATTGTACCCATGTCGGGAATCGAACCTGGGTCTTCGGTGTGAGGAGCAAACGCTTTAACCACTAGGCTACCTGACCACCCCGTACAACCTAACAAGTTTGGGGGAAGGGACTAAAGGGTTGTTAAGGAAGAAGTGAAGCCTGAAATACACACACTAGTTAGTACTGAAAAACGATTCATCAGATGACAAATCCCCCTGGGCCTCACATTATAGCCATAGGCACCTCTTCAGCCCTTGGTTAATACATGTAGCAAGTTTGGGTGAAAAATCTTTCACGGCTTTCAAGTTACACTACGGAAACAAAATATGGATGGACAGACAGACCAGATGATGACTATATCCCCCGCATTATATGCCGATGGGATAAAAATGTAACAAACATCTATATACAGATGTTCATGTATGTATTTTCTAATGATGAATGTTTTTTTAAGTATTTTTTTTTTAGCTTATCCTGCATTACTCCATGGACTTTCACAAAAGTCCACAAAAGCTTATTATGCTGTTGCCTTTCACAAAAGTCCACCAAAGTTTATTAGGCTGTTACCTTTGACTGGGAGGTCAGATATTCCAAGTTATCTCATAAGTAATGACCTTGACTTTCAAAGTCAGCAATCTCATATGCTAGAATAATCAATTTAAAACATAAGGTCGCTTAAAGTCTGTTATTGTAAACATAAACAGTAAGTACGTGGTAGACAAAATTATATCAATTGGAATCATTATAATGTAAGTTAATTTATCCTCAGTTGTTACAAACTCTGCAAATTGCCCCTCTTTGATCCCATAACACAGAAAGAAAACGTGCCTCTCCACCAGGGTATTGATCAGAGTTATCTCCCCTTGGACCCTTAATTTACCCTCTCATACAAAAGCTGCTAAAACGATTTGTTGTATCAGGATAAGTAAAAGACAATAAATATTCTAATTTACATAAATTATCTTTATCCAGACACAACCTCTGCAACTTATCCCACAGTTGGTGGAGGCGTCTGCAGTTTGCGATGCTGATCTGTAGGTAACCTGGACAGAATTGTGTCATGGACCAGACTTAGGCGCCTTGAGCGCTCCACCATCACTGATCCTGTATCTCCTATCACATCCTTAATCTAACATGCAAAGCTATGCTCCATGGTGAAGTACCTGTGTGGCATATGAAACGTGATGCCTGGGGGATCAGAACATGAAGTTGTGGGGAATCATGTCCTCTGATCACATCTACTACAAAACAGTTTGAATAAAAGCCCATAGTGGAAGCCAGAACGCTAATCTCATGAGGATTGTGAGCTTGAGCATGATCCACTCCTGCATATCTACATGACTACAAGATGGATGCCATTAACCAAAATGCAATGGTATACTTGGAGACCGGAATCATGGCAAAGGAAGAAATAACCGTTGCCTTTGTCTTCTTGTAGGCCTTGTACCTTCAAGGTGACGTTTCAAAGCCCAGGATGGACACAAATATAAATCAGCTTTATCTTCCTGTCCCAAGACTGTGGACAAAGATGACAGTAAACCCAAACATAATTTCACATGAGACCCATTTGTGCTCTTTCCCATGAGGCCCTCTGTCAAACTTCACCTGCATCACACAAAACATGCACCTCACAAATGCGTGCAGTTGTGATTAAGGCAATCGGAAACACAGTTTTCTGAGTAAGGAACTGTTTTGATGCTGATGCTACTCCCTCGTAAGGTATGGTGGTTAAATGTTGTAAAAACACCCCCCTTTCCCACGCAGGTCTGACCCAGCGCTTCTGATCCCCAAGGCGATAGCTCGTAAGCAAAGCTGGAGCAGTGCTTATCTCCTTTGATCCAGATGCTGTTCGTACAGAGTTGATAGCTGCTACATATGTACCAATGGTACTTCCCCACAACTTCCTTGTCATACACAAATACAGCAAATAATCATCAATAAACTGAACTGTTTACTCCAAAGGAGTCATTCCCTTTGTGTAATATTAGGCTGTAAACGAATCCTAGTAATACCAGTAATACAGCACTCAATACTGCCTGTGCTGCTCTCAAGGAGAAACATAAGGTCATTTATAGAACCACACATGCAGATCGCTGGATGTGCCTACTTGTGTGGATTCACAAGTTGTCTGTTCCAACCCGCCAGAAACATGCAGAGTCTACTTCAAGTCTTTTTAACTCTGGGAGCCATGGCCGACTGTGTCAATAAGGCGCGACCCAATGCGGAACTCTGGGTAAATGTGCTAGAGACGGGAATGCGTAAGCAGGCTTGCCTTGCCGTGAAATTGCTAGTGCCTTGTGATCCCAAGCTAGTGGATCTTGAATAAGTGACAAATACTGGAAGCTGATGATGACATCTTGTGGCAAAGGGATCAATGTTGGGTGTGTCTAACTCTTTGTACATCCACCTGAATAGATCTGGATGCAGTGTCCACTCTGTGGGAGTGGACTGTCCATGGTTCGACAGTGCATATGCCAACATGATGGTGACACCTTGGTTGTGATGAACTAACACTGTCCATCAACACATAAATGTCTTGTCCAGTAGGTGACCTGAACGTGTTGCTCCCATCTTGGTGATATAGTGTGCCATGTTGTCGGTGGAGAATAGAATCCTGGCATTGATGAAATGGAATTTCAAACACTGAATAGCAGTGTCACTGCTAAGAATAATAGAGGCTTATAGATCCTCAATGTGAGCTCCCTAATGTGTAGAGACTCATCAACAAATAAGTAGTGAGTGGGAATCAACTCTCTTAAAGAGATTCTGCCAAAGGCATACAACAGGATATTCACCACCTCAGGTTTATCCTGAGACTGGCTTCTTTGTTGCAGGCAGAACTGCAGTGACCTTAGTTAAAGTTGACCCCCGCCTTGTCATGTCTTTTACTGAGACACATCTTGTCCCATGAGACACTGCCACTGGTGAACTGAGATGTTTAAGTCCAGGGCCTGTCTGAACATTGGCTGCATCCTGTCCAATTAGTCTTGTAGCACCAGAGGGAGGCTTTGATGATCTATTTATCTTCAGGAACTGAGCGCCAAACTTTATGCACATCTTTATCTGAAGATGGTGATGACGTGGGGAACTGCACCCCGTGTACTAGATATCAAGATACTGCCAACGCTGTACCCTTCTATGAAGCGAGACAAAGGCCAATATGTCAGCCTAACTGCAGCAAT